ATCTTCCTATCTCAAGTGGTTTGACCGTGGTGAAGCTGCAAAGTTTCGATTTTCAAAAAAGTCAAAATTGGCCAATTTCAACAGGTAGCTACCTGTGGTACCAAAATCCATTTTTGGGTCGAATTTTTTTGGTCTCGGAAATCGATGTAACCCGGTTTTTTGGACTCGGTGCTTCTCTAGCTCTCTCCCAATGTGCATAAAAGTGGATTCTGAGCACTTTTTTTTTTGCGGAAAAGTGCCAAAAAATCCGGTTTTTCATGGACAAAACTAAAACGCTCAGTGCTTCCAAAGTAAGGCAGATGTGGAATCGCGGTTTGTGGCATTGCAAAGATAAGATTTCAAACTAGTACCTGTCCAAATTTCATCTTCCTATCTCAAGTGGTTTGACCGTGGTGAAGCTGCAAAGTTTCGATTTTCAAAAAAGTCAAAATTGGCCAATTTCATCAGGTAGCTACCTGTGGTACCAAAATTCATTTTTGGGTCGAATTTTTTTGGTCTCGGAAATCGATGTAACCCGGTTTTTTGGACTCGGTGCTTCTCTAGCTCTCTCCCAATGTGCATAAAAGAGGATTCTGAGCACTTTTTTTTTTGCGGAAAAGTGCCAAAAAATCCGGTTTTTCATGGACAAAACTAAAACGCTCAGTGCTTCCAAAGTAAGGGAGATATGGAATCGCGGTTTGTGGCATTGCAAAGATAAGATTTCAAACTAGTACCTGTCCAAATTTCATCTTCCTATCTCAAGTGGTTTGACCGTGGTGAAGCTGCAAAGTTTCGATTTTCAAAAAAGTCAAAATTGTCCAATTTCAACAGGTAGCTACCTGTGGTACCAAAATCCATTTTTGGGTCGAATTTTTTTGGTCTCGGAAATCGATGTAACCCGGTTTTTTGGACTCGGTGCTTCTCTAGCTCTCTCCCAATGTGCATAAAAGTGGATTCTGAGCACTTTTTTTTTTTGCGGAAAAGTGCCAAAAAATCCGGTTTTTCATGGACAAAACTAAAACGCTCAGTGCTTCCAAAGTAAGGGAGATATGGAATCGCGGTTTGTGGCATTGCAAAGATAAGATTTCAAACTAGTACCTGTCCAAATTTCATCTTCCTATCTCAAGTGGTTTGACCGTGGTGAAGCTGCAAAGTTTCGA